TCCATCATACTGAAAAATTACATATTGTTTATTATAGAGACTTTAAAGATCGCCTACAATTTAAAACATCAACTGCTCATGTTAAAATTCTTTGATTTTTTTAAATTTTGATTAATTAATAAAAATACTGAACTGATTGGAATGAAAATACCACTATTAGGATGACATTCTGCCCTGGTTTATGGTTATGTGTGTTTGCTGAATTATTGTTATATATTCTTGTTGTTATTGAAGTTAATGCTGTTGTTAGACCTTAGTTTCTTTGTTAAAATGTCATTTTTTGTTGAGAGATGATGTTTACAATGATATGATTGTTGTTGTTGTTTCAACGAATAACTGTTACTGTTGTTGATATAAGTAATAGTGTTATCTTTGGTAGGCTGTTCTTTTATTAATGCTGTCATTGGAGAAAATCCGTGTAGAAGTCGTAATCGTAACAAAATCAACATTAGACAAAAAAAAGAAATATATATATAAAACCAAAAGGATTTATTTTATATTTATATCCAATTAATAAAAAAGATAAGCTAAACAACAGGTTATCCTTTTTATTTATTTATTTTATAGTTAGTGGTTTGATTTATATAGTTTAAAAAAAAATAAAAAATAAACTTTATGTGTGTATGTAGTATATAATAAATATGTTGTGTGAATGTAATGTAATAAATAATATATATAATCTTTAAAAATTATATCTATTGATTATTTTTTTTTTTTTCCTCGACCTTTTTTTATTTTTGTACAAGAATTTGTCATACTAAATAATAATAAAAAAAATTTTTATTAATATTATGCAAATCACCTTCACATGTTAAATCACCATATCATATGTAAAATGAAAATTTTTTTTGTTAAACATTTTTATATTAACCTTACATCTATATTACCCCCCAGACATAATGAACAAAGTGAACATAACGCCACAAAATAATTGCTGTGGTACAAACTGTTTAATGCCACAATTGAGCATAATAGAAATTCGATTATATCAGAAATGTGATGATCATTTGTGATATATGCAAATTTATATTGTGCTACAAT